TCCAGTTTGCTTGAACTCTGGGACACTCAAACTGTATTGACAGTGGTGAAAAGAGCCTTTTCAAGTACCCATTTTGCAGAAGAAAGTTAAGTCAAAAGGCGCGCTCATCTGATGTGGGAATAAGCTATTAAAAAAAAAAAAAGACAGTCAAAGCTGAAAAAACTCCCATCCATTATATTTCCTTTAAAAATGATGGCTTGGTGGGTTTGATTGTGGTCCAGTTCAGCTGGTATTTGCAAAACTGAACCCGATATTTTAGCCTTCCAGGAATAAGATTCCTAACAGGGACCAAGTGCCGGATCCCAGTTTGGATGGAAAAGCAGCAGCAATGCAGGAGGTCCACAAACAGTGTTGAAAGCAGTGTGTGTCTTTGTGTGTGTCTGTGTGTCCGTAAGAACTGTATCAAGGGAGGCCAGCCTTACAAACATTAAGCTCCAAAGCAAACCGTCAAAAACTTGTACAGTATTGAACACTGAATGTTGCTACTTCTAAAAACAAAATCTTTCATTAAAAGGATTGGGGAGACTTGAAAATTCTGCCTTTCCTGCTCACATTTCACGGCGGTTTAGATACTGAAGTGATAGAATAAAAAATTAAAAATCTCGCAGGAAGAACAAGCAACGATGCTTAAGAACCGAATTCTTAAATGCACGACTAAAACAAAAATCCCCCTCCTCTTGCAGAAAACGAGCTATAAGAAGCTACTGCACTTATTTTGCAGGGATGAAACTCCAGAGGGGTGAATATTTTAGTCTTTTGCTGTGGTTGAGACAAGAAACTTAAAATAACAGTGAAGAAATACTAATATCTTCAGTTCCCTGAAAGGCATTCAGACAAACAGCGTAACCTACGTACGAGACAGGTATATCAGTAGGCCAAACATTATCAGAAGTACAGAAAGGTAATTTTAGGAGGAAATGCAACCTCTACAGAATATTCCAAAACAGTTTAATGAAAAGCGCATTCAGGAACCCATGAAGCATCTGTTGATAAAGGAAGAGAAAATAGCAGGAAAGTCACATGGCATTTCACAAGGAAAAGGCATTAGGCAGGAGCATTCTACCCCACAACTTTATTATTTCCTTAATATATTTCATTTCCTACCCGTCAGTTCCTCAGTCCAAAGCATTAACCCACTTTAATCCGTTCAAGTACTAAAAAGCATGCTAGCCTCAAATATCTTAATGCATTGACTAGAACACTGAGGACTAGTGTCCAAAACCACCCACTAAACGAGGCATCAGCTGTGTCCAATAAGCAATATACCAGGACAGATGTCAAGCTGCATGCAAGCCACTATAGATTATTGATATAAATGCCATCCTTTAAAACCCACCGGTACCTGCCCATTTCACAGGTGAGGAATACTGAGGTTGGAAAATGAGAAGAAGAAGAAAGTGAGCCATGGCTGAAAATTCCTTTCTTTCCTTGCTCCCTTTAAAGCCATGCAGGGGAAGCTCTGAAAGGGTGACTGAGAACCAGCCGGATGTAATGCTTGAATGCAGAGAACGCTAGAAGGAACAGGGCTGAATCTGTTACACGGAGTGATCTTTGGACGAAATGTTATCATCGGCAGAGTCAGGACCGTCTCAAACCCAAGCCTGCAGATGGGCCCAATACATGAAATCCTTCTGATTCTTCCCGGCACAGTCCATATGAAAATAACCCGATAGCACCCCACATCAGTTGCAACGCACCCTTATTTTTTGGCCTCTTACTTGTTCCTCTCCAAGTTTTTCCCCAGGCAACCTTGGGCAGGCATTCTGGAATCTCTCTCTGCTCGTCTCAGAGACCCCTTCACCCGGAAAAGTCTACCCTGAGAGTTCAGTGGACTGAAAGGAAGTGTCTGTGCCCCTGAGCTACCGTGGGATGCGTGCTTGGGGGATTTCGTGGCAGGTGGGGGAACCGTTGCAATGGGACCTACTTTTCTCCAGTGGAGGCTCCAGAAAGTTGCAACTGCTCTGAGCAAGCAACACTGGGCAAAATTGAAATCGCTTCCTTTGTGCCTGGCAAAGATCTTGAGGGCCAGGTGGCTGAGCTGGTGGTCACTAAGAGGAGGACTGGGGAGGGCTGGAAATCTTCCCCCACGATCTGCAGAGGTTTGCTATTGGGCTGCCCCACTGTGGGGTCTGGCAGCACCCAGCCAGGTGTGGTCCCCAAAGCAGGTACAAAAGCTGCTGTTGACCTGTCACATGTGGGGTGGCAGAGAGGGGAACTCATGAGCTGTAAGCACACGAATGGGGACTAATTCACTTAGATTTGTTTTAATTCCATTAGAATTAGGCAAAAGCCAATTAACTAGGAGCCAATCCCCTCCTTTCTGACGTGCAACCTTTGGCATGCCACTCCAAGATTACGGGTAGCCACTGCCCCTTCCCCCCAAATTTGCACAGTCAGCATTACATGAAATTATGTTAGATTAAACTCCCCATACCTAGTCTGCTAAATTGCACACAACCAGTAGATGGCAGGAAAGAGCGACGAGTTATCTGCTGCCCTTTGCTGCCCTCTGCAGGATGTGGGTTGCCAAGACCTGCCAGGCCTATTACAGAATCCAAACCTTAGTTCCTTTAGTCTCTGTTGTTTTACAGAGTTGCAAAAACTCCCCATTTTTCAGCCTCAGGGGCTTTTCCCAACCCAGTCTGGGAATGCCAACAGCCAGAACCTTGGTTGATCTACTTCAACCTGGTCTATATTTTTTATTTTTAATTTATTTATTATTACATTTATATGCCGCCCACCTCCCCCAGAGGGTGAT